TGGTGGGACCACCCCTGCTGAAAGTTCCTTCTTCCCATTCACATTTTGCACATCCTCTAATAGGCCTGATGATTTCTTTGCCTATGCTCTTCTTGCACAGTCCTTCTCCAAGTTGACATTTGCAGCCATGAATTTCCTGCTGGGGCATCCTGTAGATTGGATGCTCCTTTTTGCATACACATCTAGCTGAATACTCACCTAGGCTGGATGCTCCATTNTTGGACTTTCTAGCCTCCAAAACTGTAAGCAATAAATATTATTATAATTTTTGGTTTACAAATTACCCAGTTTAAGATATTTCTGTTATAAGCAACAGAAATGTACTAATACACATGCATATTCGTTTTGTCCTCCAATAGTCAGGCTGAACTTAGTGCTGTGAACCTACGGCCACGTCTTCATTATCCTGCTTACGCCCTGCACCCACGCACCTCCTCCTATGCCCTTCCGTCGGCGTGCTGCACCGTCCAACTATGCACTGAGGGTCATATATTCTAATAGTCTGGCTTTAGCCTCTACCCACACACTTATTTCAGAGCCTCCTCCGAGCTGGCTGCATTCTGCACTCATGAACATTCTGTGAATTTTCTTTCTCCTAGGCTGGATTCTCCCTCCACCCATACACTTCCTGATGGGTCTTCCCATAGGCTAGCTTTATCCTGTATCCAGATCTCATCTGGACTGTATATACCTCTTCTCATGCAGTTCCTATTAATCTTTTTCTAGGCCTGATGGTTTTCCACCCAAGACCTAATTGTCAGGTCTTGCATTAGGCTGGCTGCACCTTAACCCATTCAGATCACCTACAAATCATGCCGCACCTTTACCTGGACAGGCTGCATCCTGTACCCATGGATGTCCTTCCTTGTTATTTCCTAGTCTGGCTTCACAATCCCACCACGTCCTCCCCTACAAATGGTACACTCTTCATCCATGTACCCCCTGCCACATCCTCCCCTAGAATGAATGTGCCCTCCATACATGCAATTCCTGCCTAGTCCTCCCATAGGCTAGTTGTATCCTGCATCCATATGGTATACAGTGCATCCATATACCATCTCCTATGCCCACTCCCAGGCTGGCTTCATCCTGCACTCACAGTAAAGGCCAGGTCAGCCCTTTAGCTGAATGCTCCCTTCTGCCATGCATGTCCTGCCAGTCCTATCACAGGCCTGGAGGTTTCTTCAACCATGAACTTGCTGCTGATTCCTCCCCTAGGCTGCCTGTGCCTTCTTCAGGGGATTTCCCTATGTTGGCTGCATGCTATTACCCTCCACTTCTAACCATGTCCTCTTTTAGGCTAGATAAGTCACTCACCCATGTACAACCTGTAGAGTCCTTTCATATGCTAGATTCTCTCTCAATTCATGCACTTTTTGCCAAATCATCTCCTAGGCTCACTGCACACTAGACAGGTGCAGCTCTTGTCAAAGCCTCCCCCTAGGCTTAATATGTCCTCCATACATTTACTTTCTGCCAGATCTTCCCCTAGGCCAGCTGCAACCATCACACCTGACTTGCCTGTAGGGTTCTCTATCAGACTGTTTCCTTCAACCAGGTACCACATGCACAGTCTTGCCTTAGGCTGGATGACCCCTCCATTCATACACCTTCTACAAATTCCGCTCCTAAAACTGGAAGGTCCCTCAATCCATTAGCCTCCTACCATGAATTCACCTAGACATCCTGCATACTACACATATACACTTCCTGCCAAGTCCTCTCCTAAGTTGGATTCTCTTTTTGCCATTGAGCTGGATCCCTGCTGGTTCCTTTCCCATGGTGGCTGCTTCCTTCATCCATGCACCTCCCCTAGGCTGGATACTCCCTTCACTCATTCACTCACTGCCAGTTTCTTCCCTAGCCTGGCTGGTTCCTCCACTCATGAGCCACCTGCTGTACCCTCCCCTTTGCTGGTAGAATCCTTACCCATATATCTGCCACTAATCTGCTTGTAGGTTGGATGTATACTCTATCAATGCACCTCCTGTAGGAGCCTCCCTTAAGCTACATTTTCCCTCCACCCATGCGTTTACTGCTAAGTCCTCCTCTTGGTTGATGGCACTCTCCCCCTATTCACTTCATGCCATATCCTCCCCTAGGCAGGATGTATCTTTCATCCACACACTTGTTGCTGGATTTTCCTTCATTCTTCCTGCATCATTTCTGCAATTACACATGCTGTGTCCTTCCATAGAATAAATGCGTCCTTCAGCCATGCTTTTACAGTTAAGTCCTACACTAGCCTGGCTATTACTTCCACCCAGACACCTTCTACTGAGTCCTCCCCAAGGCTTGATACATCCTCCACCCACGCACTTCCAGCTGGGATCTCAAGGCTGGTTGAACCCTGCTTCTATATACTTAATACTGTTTCTCCCCCTAGGCTGAATGCACTTGATCAATGCACCCCCTCCCTTAGGCTACACTCTGAACCAATGCACCTCTTATTAGGTTCACTCATGAGCTGATTGCAACTTAAACCAAGACTCATTCAGATGCTTCCCCTAGGCTGGACACACCTTCCACCATTGCACCACTAAGTAAATCCTCCCTTACACTACATTATTCTTCCTTCCATGATTTTACTTCCAGATTGTCCCCTAAAGTCATTGCTTCCTCCACCTCAAGCCACATCTTCACATAGGCCAGCTGCAATCTCCAACGTGCATTTCTTGCGCCTCTTTTCGTAGGCAGAATTTTACTCCCACCTGTTAATGTACTATTGGTGCTCCCATAGGCGTGTAATATGCTCCACTTGTTAACGTCCTATTCAGACTTTCCCTTGCCTGGCTCCCCCTTTTAACCATGAACTTCCAGCAAGGTCA